CGATATTTGGTTGTTCCAACGAATGCCGTGAATGTCTGACGCACCAAAGGAACCGCCCAAAAGTAATATTCATCTGGTAAAAGGTCACAAGTTTCGGGCGCCCAGTCAGATTTTAATTCAATAGATTAATAATTTGTGAAATTTGATAAGCACTTGTCTATATATTTACATTTATGTTCTCTTCACCTTTATTGTCATATTCACGACGTTCCGACCGCTGTACACACTGGCCTTCTTAAGGTGATATACATTGGAATTTCGGACCGAAACCATTACTCGGTCGACGGGGTAGATTGTTCTGTTATTTTCGATTATTACCTGAAGAAGACCGGAGCGTACAACGACCGAAACGTCGTGAATATGACAGTAAAGATGAGGACAACAGACCAAACAATTTAAATAATTATAAATAGTTACAATGCTTCATCTCAGATATACTTACAGTTACTTCTCTACACGTCGCTTTTTCCATTCTCTCTTTCTCGTTATCTGTCGTTCTTTTTCAGTTTTCTTCCCAGCCTTCTGATTCTGATTTCCCATAATCTTTCCTTCTTTTTTTTCTCTATTTCTCATTTTGACTTCCCTCTCTTTCTCGATCAAATGTTACTTTTTGGTTTCCTTTTCATCTCTTTTGAAATTGCTTTTTTTTTCTTCTTTTCCTCTTCTGTTCTGTTTTCAACCCCTCTATATCCGCTCGTCTTTCTCGACCTTTCCACTTTCTTTTCTTTTCTTTCTCTTCTTTCAACTTACCATTTTTGGCACGCCTCTTTCTTTCTTTTAATCCTTAGTCTTTCTTTCTTCCTTCTTTTTTTATTTTCTTCCATCTCTTTCTTTCCTTTCTTTTCTTTATTCTTTTATCACTTTTTGTTTGCTTTTTTATTCTATTTTGTCATACATCTTTCTCTTTCTCTTCTGATTTCTCTCTATCGGCGCTGCACAATCTTGTCCACATACATAGCATCTTTCCTTTTCACCTCTCTCTATCGATCTCGCTTTCTCACTCGCTTTCTCTCTCTCTCTGTCTCTCCCTAGCTTTCTCTCTCACTTTCCTGTCTCTCTTTCTCGCGCACTTTCTCACTGTCGCTCCCCCCCTCTCTCTCTCTCTCTCTCTCTTGCGCACTTTCTCTCTTGTTTTCCCTCCCTAACTCAAAAAATCAGCCATGTTCAGCCAGTAAGGTTTTGTATTTGCGTAGACTTTTTCGTGTTAAATTCTTCCATTGGCCCCCGGAGCAGAAACCAATCCAAATCTTTTTGTTACAGTTCCCAGAAAATGGTTCGGCATAGAATAATTCATCTCTGCAGATTGTTACTGGTAAGGATGAAGGTCACGACGAAGTGTGGGTTCTGCTCGGATGGGTATCAGGGTTGTAGGAGTGTTGGTTGAGGGATACGAAAAGTGAATTAGTCAAGGTTTCCTAGACACAGGCGTATTAGAGTTCATTCACTCTGGCCAAATGCTGTACGGCTGTCTTTGAGATATCTGGCGGCGAGGTAGGATCAGGTGGACGCCGGTTGGTGATGGCCATTTAGAAGAATACAGAGAAACTAATGCTGCTATTTTTCTACAGGCATATATGAGGGGTGTTTTCTCATATTTATATATATATATATATATATATATATATATATATATATATATATATATTTGGCTTGTGTGACTATATGTGAGTACTTTGGTTCTTTTTCGATTTTGTGTATTTTCATTTCGCGTGTATGCTTAAATACGTATATGAAATTTCAGATACACACACATATATGCATACCTATCCAAGTGCTTATCTCTCTCTGCATATATATATATATATATATATATATATATAGGTATATATTTTTGAAAAATGTCAATGATGAAAAAACTATATGTACGGGCTTGTATATTAAAATACACTGTTTGCCATTGATAAAAAAACTGTTTACGTTATGATAAGAAACTCAGTAGAGATGTATATTTTAAGAATCGGGAAAGGTCTGTGTTCAAAAAGCGCGTTCGAATCCTTCTAGAAATTTTTTCAAATATTCAAGCCAGTAGGGGAAATAAATAAATATTGTGTTTATAAATAAACAGAGCATCTGCTCAAATAGGGGAATCTAAAAAAAAGATTAAGCAATATACCAATAAGTCACTCGCCCAATTATTGAATAAAAAAAACATTTATTTTGTTTTTTTAATCATGTCACCACAAGCAAGGCGATCAAGCCACCAAGACGAGTTTAAGACAGAAGAAGACGATGGCTATTGCATATAAACTTTTGGAGATCAAAGTTGACTGGAAAGCAAGAGGCTGGAAGTCCCAAAAAGTATATTGAGAAAAAGGAAATTTTGCATTACCATGAAAATATTTATAGAAAATACATGAGAAACTATGTTACGCTTTTATCCACTGGGTATAAAGGGTGTTCTAATAACTTGGACAAATTTTAAATGTGAATTAAGTTTAAGCGTCTAATGACTTTTTTTTTCTTTCAGATTTAACAGCTTAAGTCTTTGACAATTTCAACTATGAAAAGATTAACAATAAAATAACAGCTTTCAAGAGTGCAATTGCTAAATATTGTTCGTAAATTCAGACAAGTCGGTGGCAGATGTGAAAACATCCTAGCGTGCTCGTTTACGCCGTTCAGATGAAAACATTGCTGCAGTGCACGAGAATGTAGCCGAAAATCCAGACCCCTCTATTCGTCATCGTGCGCAGGAATTGAACCTCTCCACAACAACGTTACATCGTTTCCAATTGCATTCTCGATTGGTCGATTATGTTGACTCAAAATATCGCAAAGTGCGCGAAATGCATTTCTATTTGAAGGTCCATTTTAGGCTTCGATAACCTTAACACGTTGTTTGATTGTTAATCTTTCCATGATTGAAATTACCAAATACTTAAGTTGTTAAATGTGAAAGAAAAAGAAAAGAAATCATTAGACGTTTAAACTTAATTCACATTTAAAATCGGTCCAAGTTACTGGAACATCCTTTATATATGGATGATTCCATATCAAATCATTTCATATTTCTTAATTTTTTTTATTTTAATAAGTTTTCAGTAGATGACACAATTTTTTTGGAGACAAATTAATCCTGAACTTTTTAATCTGCAATTATATCAAATTGCTTACATTCATGTCTCGAGGCGCAAAGATGATTTTGCAAACTTGAGCACTCCATAACTTTGATATTTAAGAAGCTACCAAAGCTGAAATGTTGTCCCCTGTATTTCTTTTAGATAAATAATTTCTGGCTTTATTTCATGTCTGTTCTTCTGATATGCAAGTTATGGATCCTTCACAAAGGGGAGAAATGGCTTTTACGTGGTTACTAAACTTTCAGCCAAAGAAACTAATCTAAGGGCGTGAAAATAAAACAAAACCACTAGATTATTTTCATTTCATGTATTGCCTTGCGTAAAAAAATGAAACAGTTCAAAAGCATTAAATACTTTTCTGTTGATTAACATAAAAAAAAAAAATAGAGTAAAAACTAAATATTTTCACATGCTTTTGAAGGAAATGGAACAGATCCTTAGTGACTTTACCGAGCCACACAGGAATATGAATTCTATGTCAGCCCATTTCAAAAAATAAGTATAGGAAGAACGTCTACATAAACCTCATCGAACCAATCTCCAGAAATGACAACATACAGATTGGTCTCGGTTCGAATTTAAAAAGAAATAGCACCTGGAGAAGGCCGGTGCGTACATCGGCCGAAACGTTGTGAATGTGACAATAACGATGAGGACAACAGCCCGAACAATGTAAATAGTGTAAATATTTTACAGATTGTTTGAAAGTCTGAAAAGTAACGGAGGCATCCAAAAAAAAAAAAAAAATCAAACTTTATATTCAATTCTTTCATTCCTGAAAATCTAAACATTCTTATTCATACGTAATTTGGTTGAATAGTCACAGAATCATTTCAGAGATTTTTGCAGTCGAATACTCACCAAGTGCTACAAAATTTATGTATTTTAACTCTTGAATTCCATGTTACATTGAATTTAACAGGTATTCATAATGTTCGTGCCTTGGAATCAGAGTAAAATAAGACAAAATATATAATTTTTGCTCATTGGCAAAGAAATGCAGCAAAATAGCAACAAATGTAGAAGTTAAATAAAAACATGCATACCATTTTTATTAAGACATTTTTTATTTAAAACAGTGAAAAAAATTGCACGAACATGCATGCCAAGCTGGTAAAAAGCGAGAAAATTCAATTTTTAAAGGCTATTTTTATTGCTTATTTTCGTTTTAATTTAAAACATTAAAAATAAATTGAATGTCTTTTATATTATGAAAATAATGAAAAATGGAAGGAAGATATTAGGCCCTAAATTATATATTTTTAACATTATGACACTCCTTGAATCATTAGATGGACAATGAAACAAAATGATTACTTAGTTCACAAAAAAAAAAGAAGATATTTTGACCATTCAGAAAATGATTACAAATCATGTTCTTCTACTATGTACTATGCCGCTTTAGAACAGTGGTTCTCAAACAGTGCGGCGCGCCCCACAGGTGCGACGGAAGAGGATAGCAGGTGAGGCGGAATGAATTAAAGACTATCAAAAACAGAAACAGTTTCAAAAAATTAATATACCAAAAATATGATTTCAAACTTTAAAATATTATTATGGATTACTTGTAATTGCATGCATGAGTCCCAGTATAAATAGTTATAAATAATTATTGACCGATTTTATCAGTGTGATATTTCTGCATTATATCAAATATCAAGAATTTGGGTCCGCAAATTGGAGGAGAGAGTTATCAATGATAATGTTCTGGCTTCGAATCCAAGTTTATCTCCCTTTAACCGTCTCTCTTTCGTTTTTTTTAATTATTTTTAAATATATTTTTCGTCCCATAAAATTTGGTGAGGTGCGAGCAAATATTTATTCCGAAAATGCGGTCCTCGGAGAAAAACAATTTGGGAACTACTGCTTTAGGACATTAGCGTCATGGTCCTCCGCAACTTCCTATTCTTTGCAGATCTCAGCAAAGCTTGTCCTTTTGCACCAAGGTCACACTATTTTTTCGCCTCTTTTCACCATTTTTCGCCTGTAGACACAACACAGCCTTTGGTTTGTTCTCGTTTTATTTGTAGGCAAATACCCCCAGAAATGACAAATTATAATCTCACGAATCACACAGTTGCCAGTTAGTCATTTAGACTCGAATTATGAATGAATGATTTCCATATCGTTGGAAAAATATGTTTAAAATATTAGTTGGTAATATCCGCTGATCATCAATGAAATCGACTGATGAGTGTTAAATATTCATTACTTTTTTTTGTGGGTTTATTTTATTATTCACTTTAAGTTACTCAGTAGGGATCTTAGCACACACCAAGAGTGACCAGTATAGCAATTAACAAATAGGTGTGAAAATGTCAATGTACGAAAAAGGTATTAAAATTTACAAGTTGTTTTGAGATAAGAAAAATACTTATTAGTGCACTGGGAGTCAGAAGCTTAGCTGTAACACGTAATCTGTTCGGACTCCATTTAATGTTAACAACTGAAGTATAAAACTATTTTAACTTCACCCAATTGCGTTTATGTCGGAGTATTCACAGCCTCAATATATGGATGAATATGGCAACTGTCGTATCGTAATATTTCTGGAGGAAGAATGTGAACTACTAATTTAAGAAAGACTCTACACAATTTGAAGAAAGTGATTCTATTACTAAAGATATGTTATCCATTCATATATGATTACAAATTATGTTTTTCGTCTATGTGTTGTGTCTCTTTAGCACGTTAGTGTTATAGGTAACCAGAAATTTCTATTGTTGTGCCCATAAAAAGTAAATAAAAATTAGTTAGTGTCAAAAAATAATTATAATAAAATAATTATAACAATTACAATTATCATTAATTAAGACCAATGAGAATCGACCCCACTTTTCTCCTCTACAGGCACAAACACGTGACATTCTCACTATTGGACAAGCAGATAACACGGACAGATCGTTTACACGTGCGTCAACGAAAATTTAATCTACATTTCCTTTTTTCAGG